TAAATTTACTAGGAAAAATGAACTTACCAACTCCTTGTTGAAAAAATTGGAATTCATTTGACCGATACGCCGGTTGTTTCAATTTTGCTTTTTCCTCGGGCTGCTATAAAACAGTTCATAAACTCATGAGGGGACGCAAATCGTCTGTACTGTAAGTATCCCGGCGAGTCCCCTACATTTTCTTAGACTTTTAGTCTAAGAAAATGTATGGGGACTGTAAGGTGTCATAATCCTGTTGCTGCTGACATCGATGTGACAGATAATTGCTTTTGCACTGTTTATACTTGTCATCAAGTTTCAATAAGACGGCTATCATTTTTCACAAGAATAATGAAGTTTTCGTAAATTGTGAGATCGGATGGGATTAAAATGGGATTAAATCACCTACAGAGCTTAATATGTACTTACAGTGCAGACGATTTGCGTCCCCTTGTGTGACTAATGAATAAAATGTTTTGAGATACCATTCGGAATTTGTCTTTTTTTTCTGCGTGCAAATCAAGGGTAGACAAAGTTTTTAAAACATTTATCTAGAATTTCATGGAGTTCACCTCGATAATTTTCGTCGGCCAGAGTCAAGACGCGCCAAGGTAAGGGACATCGCCCTCCAGTAAAATAATTTTCCAAAGAATAAACGTGGCAAGCGTGAGGAAACGCACATTTTTTTTATCATTGTGATCAAAGCCCAATGATGTACCTAAATTGGTACTTACGGTATCAAACCATCGATTATGACAGGGTGAGCTTAATTTTTCTGTCGAGGTCGACGTGACTTCACATTAAAAGCGTTTTTGACGGAACAAACTAGTGAGCATCACTGCACGAACTGAGAAAGTAAAAACTTGTATTTATCTCCCACGCGTTTCGTCTGACAATAGTAGACTTCATCAAGGATTTTTTCAAGTAGGGTAAATAAGCTTGCTCATATACAAATAGTAAATAAGTCGTCTCTTTGCTATTGAAGCCAATGGATAGAATTGGCCAGGTGCGCCTACGGTGTTATACATGCGTGACATTTTCCGGACGTTACATGTGCGAGTACATGATCCGTTTGAGGGTCACAGATTTAGAGTAAATATTTCACCCCTCAACATCACGCAATGTCTCTAGTTTATAGAGGTCTTAGAACGCTTCATTATATGGAGTTGCCTTCTGCGGGTAGAAGGCTACAAGCGAATTTCTCAGGCGTAATTGCCTTTGATTTCTTAATTGATGTTGTCGCAAACCTAGTTTTTGGGAGTCACGAGACAAAAAAAACTTATCAGGACCCAGTTTCATGTTCTAATGGAGATAAATGGCAAATAAAAACACATTTTCTTGTGAAATAAAGTCACAAATGACGGGGGTTCTCTGAAACAAATAGTGATAGAAAAGGATTTCAGTTCTGGTCAATATTGACTTTTCACGGCCTACTTCCAAATCTGAGGGAACGCACTGAGGGAATAAAAAAACATAAATGTGTGATAATGCAAGCAAGAGAATGAAAATCCAAATGAAGAAAAAGGAGAAAACATAGGAACCCGTATTGCAGCGTGCAGATATCTTTCGAGTCAGACCTACACACCTAAGCCCGACACCATCCAGAGAAACTCGAAAGAGTCCTGCATATGAACTAGCTTGCACGTGCACGCAGGAAAGGCCATGACAATCAGCGAAAATGCAAATGATATTTGCAGTCAAAAAACAGAAAAATAAGATAACAGAAGGATTAAGAACTTTCTAGAAGTATCTTCTTGAAAAAAAAAAAAGATGAACAATTTTTACTTCTCATGAAAAGTCACGCAGTAACCCTACAAATACTATTTCTATACGTGGAATTTCTTGATGGTGGAAAGTGGAAAAAACATTTTCCAGTCTTATTTTCTGGAAACATGGCGTAGTTAATGAATTTATGGGGCTATTGATATTTCCTATCAAATAAGGGGGGCAGAGTTTCCCTAGAGCAAGAAGTGCGTGACAGGTGTAGTTGAGAGAAACGTGTCACAATCGCAGATTTTAAAAGGTATCCAAGACAAAAATACGGTAGTGCCCAAAGATTTTTTTGATGATTTTCAGAGATGAAATGATGGGTTATAAAGGGTAATTAAGATCAGTGTTGTAGCTTTCTGGCAACGGGAGATATTTGAACTCAAAGTTGTAAAATATTTAGATCAATCGAAAAGTCTAAAAACACAGTCGTATATTTGCCTCTGTTGATTGACAAGCCGTCAATCAAACTGACTGATGCTCGCGGCGGCCATTAACTAAGGATGTAAAAATATGTGTGCAAATCCTCAAGTAATCAGTTAAATACCATCGCAATGAGAGCTTCATATATTTTACCTATTTGAAGCGATTTCATTAGTGAAAACCAAGAAAAACCGGGGGGTGGTCTATCTCCCCACGGAAAAACCAAAACAGAAACCAGTCTGTTTTTTTTTAGTTTTGGGGTAGAGCCTTTAAACTGACAAAGTTTCATTGAAATCGGTGGGATGGCATGTAGCACGACTGCCCGGTGCTCTCGTGGACACGCTCTTAAGTCACTATCTAGCTGTTTTAGAAAGAAGGATCAGGACTTACCTAACTCTTAGTGTTTTTGTGTGAGTTGTTGATCCCAATTTAAGTGTTCTTAGAAGTTTCAGTTGTCTGTAAAGCTAAATAAATCTAACTGAAACCTAGTAGGGCCTGTTTATTCTTTTCCGTTTAGTTTCTTTGTTTTGTTTTGTCTTTTTTTTTCTTCTGGTCTGTAATGATTTCAATGGTTTCAGGTTCTTTTCTCAGAATTGAGCTACAGTAATAGTATGCTTCTTTGTGTTGTTGCCTACAGGAGCCGCTGCTTGTGTTGAATTGAAGAGATTTGCAGAAGCAATCAGTTGGTGTGATAAGGGACTAGCTGTATCCTTTGAAGGAATCGTTCATTTTTAACCGTGGGTATAAAAAAAAAGTTTCCATAATTTGATGTTTCAAGGGAGAAAATACAAAGAAGGGTATTAATTATGATGGGAACTTGTCAGCTCATATACTTTAAGTGTGTGTGATTAAAAATATAGGAGACGTTATTACCTCATGACTTATTAATGATATTACTCCTTTTAGCCAATTTGACTTAGTTCTACTATCCATGCCAATAACTGTTACATTAGTTTAAATAACCCTTTACTTTCCCAGACCAAATTTGTAATTATCCTTACTGTCAACCATACAATTCTTGTAATGTTAGTACAGAGAATTCAGTATTGCATCAACTAACTATTTTCAAATTGATATATATTTTTTTACTCTCAACACTTATCTGATTGATATTGTATTGCTATTGTAAGGAGAAATTCTCTTTTGGTCACTCACGGGAGTTAAAGGGTTAGAAGACTAATATTCATCCAGTTTATACATAGTACTTGGGTAGATGATCTCTCTAAAACAAGCCAGAACAAAAAGCTCGGTAATGTTTACATATCTTATGCAGATTTTCTTGCCTTCGACCTTTTTCCACTACTTAGAGACTCGGAAACTTTCGTTGTGCCTTCCTATGGACAAATACAAATTTTAAAGACATGTATTTGTGTTGTAGACTCATTTCTTCCACTTTTGTAAAACATTTGTCTGATGTAAAAGCTATATTAATTTAAAAATTGAGCAAGTGCTGCTCAGTTTTTGAAAACTAAGGATTAAATCTAGATATTTCGCGTTAAATTTTTATAAATCATCTACCTTTGATGCAAAGCCCTCCTAATGGGCCATTTTATAGTTGTGTACTTAGTTGCCAAGCCTTTGATTTGGAGTGAGGCTGAAGGTGACCTTGTTGTGATAGAGACCAGTATCTAGAAACGATAATAACAAAGTAGTTTGCATTTAAAAAGCAGCAATGTTTTTATCATAACAAGGTCACCCTTAATCATCGCTCTTGTTCAGAAGCTTGGGAACCAAGCACACAAATGTTAAAATGGACCATTACATATCGATAGGATCAGAAACATAATCTTTTTTGTTTTTTCCACGTTTTTAATCCTTAACATAAAAAAGATTGACAAAAACAATAGGATCTTGTTGTCATTAAGACTTCAGTCTGTCAGTGAAGTGGGAGATAAGTCCATGGAGGAAAAAGATCCTATTAGTCATGACCATGGTAGTGCAAGTTCAGGTGATGTCAAGAAAGTCATAGATCTCTATAATCGGGGAGAAGAAGCCATAGAGTACCTCAACCTATATCTTAAAAAAGCTAAAGAAGTAGGAGACAAGCATGGGGAGGGTGTTGCTTATGGCAATCTTGACAATGCTTATAACAGTCTATGTGATTTAAAAAAAGCCATAGAGTACTACAACCTATGTCTTAAAATAGCTGAAGAAGTAGGAGACAAGCATGGGGAGGGTAATGCTTATGGTAATCTTGGCAATGCTTATCACCATCTGGGTGATTTCAAAAAAGCCATAGAGTACCACAACCTACGTCTTAAAATAGCTAAAGAAGTAGGAGACAAGCATGGGGAGGGTGATGCTTATGGCAATCTTGGCAATGCTTATATTAGTCTGGGTGATTACAAAAAAGCCATAGAGTACTACAACCTATGTCTTAAAATAGCTGAAGAAGTAGGAGACAAGCATTTGGAGGGTATTATTTATGGAAATCGTGGCAATGCTTATGGCCGTCTGGGTGATTTCAAAAAAGCCATAGAGTACCACAACCTATGTCTTAAAATAGCTAAAGAAGTAGGAGACAAGCATGGAGAGGGTAACGCTTATTGCAATCTTGGCAATGATTATTTTAGTCTGGGTGATTTCAAAAAAGCCGAAGAGTACCACAACGTACATCTTAAAATAGCTAAAGAAGTAGGAGACAAGCATGGGGAGGGTAAAGCTTATGGCAATCTTGGCCGTGTTTATTTAAGTCTGGGTGATTTCAAAAGAGCCATAGAGTACCACAACCTAGATCTTAAAATAGCTAAAGAAGTAGGAGACAAGCATGGAGAGGGTAACGCTTATGGCAGTCTTGGCAATGCTTATATTAGTCTGGGTGATTTCAAAAGAGCCATAGAGTACCACAACCTATGTCTTAAAATAGCTAAAGAAGTAGGAGACAAGCATGGGGAGGGTAAAGCTTATGGCAATCTTGGCCGTGTTTATTTAAGTCTGGGTGATTTCAAAAGAGCCATAGAGTACCACAACCTATATCTTAAAAAAGCTAAAGAAGTAGGAGACAAGCATGGGGAGGGTGTTGCTTATGGCAATCTTGGCAATACTTACCTCCTTCTGGGTTATTTCAAAAAAGCCATAGAGTACCACAAACTAGCTCTTAAAATAGCTAAAGAAGTAGGAGACAAATCCTTGGAGGCAATGGCCTGCTCTTCACTAGGATGCATTTTTGAGTTGCAAGGTGGACTGCCAAAAGCCGTTGAACATTACCAAGCTAGCATAAACTTATTCAATTCCTTGAGAGCACTTCTAAAATCTAAAGATGAGTGGAAAGTTAATTTTCGAAATCAGCATCAAATGGCGTATACGGGTTTGTGGAGAGTTCTCGTAGAACAAGGTAATGTAGATGAAGCCTTATTTGTTGCTGAGAAAGGACGAGCTCAAGCTCTGACCGACCTCATGGAATCCAGTTTTTGCGGTGGAACAAGTCACCACAAGGGAGAAGATGAAGATTTCACAGTTTTAAAAAACGTTCCATCAAACACTGTCTTTCAGGCACTGGGCAGAGCTAACGTCAATCTTTGGGTTGTGTCCGAAGGAAAACAAGTTCGGTTAAGACAAAGCAAACTCAAAAGTTTTGTTTCAGAGAATAGTGAATCTAGCCAGTCCTTTGAGTCGTTCATGCTCGGTGTCTATACACAACTTGGTGTTCGTTCTAATGTGAGATGCGAGAATCGATCTTTAGATGCATTGAGGGCGGGCCGTTCAAAAGTGGATGAGAAAACCAAAGAAGCCAACCCTCAACCTCACATCCAACAAGACGGATGCTTGAGCACTTTGTATGATATCGTTATGAAGCCGGTGGCTGACTTGATTGAAGGGGATGAGCTACTCATTATTCCTGATGGACCCTTGTGGATCGCTCCTTACGCTGCATTGAAGGATGGTAATTCTAAATACCTATGTGAATCGTTCACAATCCGAGTCGCTCCATCGTTAGCAAGTCTTAGACTCATTGCCGATTGCCCAGATGATTATCACAAAAGCAGTGGCGCGTTACTTGTAGGAGATCCGTGGGTATCCGAGGTTACTAACAGCGAGGGAGAGAAAGTCCTCGAGCAGCTTCCGTGTGCTAAAGAAGAAGTAGAAATGATCGGAAAAATTCTGAATATCACGCCAATCACTGGCAGACAGGCCACGAAATGTGAGGTGTTGAGAAGACTCAGTTCCGTTTCCTTAGTTCACTTTGCGGCACACGGATGTATGGAAACTGGCGAAATTGCTCTTACACCTGACCTAGACCGAATATCTAATGTGCCTACGGAGAAGGAGGATTACATTTTAACGATTCGAGATGTGTTGAATGTTCAACTTCGCGCCAAACTTGTTGTGCTCAGTTGCTGCCACAGTGGTCGGGGCGAGATCAAGGCTGAAGGTGTGGTTGGCATTGCGCGCGCTTTTATGGGGGCTGGTGCTCGGTCTGTTGTGGTGTCCCTGTGGGCGATTGATGACGAGGCTACTCTCCAGTTCATGAAATGCTTTTATCAACACCTTGCAGAAGGTAAACCTACAAGCAAGTCACTGAACCTGGCCATGAAAAGCCTCAGAGAATCAGATGAGTTCCACGACATCAAATACTGGGCGCCCTTTTTGCTGATTGGAGATGACCTCACGTTTGACCTGATGGCAAAGGAAAGAGAAAATTTGAATAGAAAATCAAATAAATGAGAAAATTTTATTTTTCATCTCAAAAGAATGAAGTAGGAACTTGGAAGGTTTAAATGTTTCTCTATTTTAAACAATTTTTGGCTATTTTTCTTTACTTTTTACTTTTTTGTTAAATGGAACTTGAGATGTGCAACTTTACTATGGTGAAGAAATAAACCAGTCTATTTCATTATATTTTGATCAGTGGAATTGTCATTTTTTGTTACCTTAACAAATTTAAATGCTTGCGAAGAGAACGAAATGCAACAAGGCCTCTGTTATGAACGAGGTTTCCATTTCCACCAACATGCCACTCAGCTCTGTTCCTGTATTACAATCAGTTGTATGGAAAATAATTTAAAGATTATTTCTTTTACCCAACCAGGGGCTTTTCCACCGGATTTTAATTACCTTTATGCTCTAAGCTTTTGATAAGCAAAGAAACAATTCGTCATTTGCAAAAGTTGGCGAATTTTTATTTCCAAAACTTTGATTGAATATGTATGTGAATTGAATATGTGAATTGATCTTAGACCGTTTTCTACATCACAAATTACTTTGTTACAATTTACCTTCATCTTTGCAAAAAAATTGATTACCATTTTCAACTCAATCCATTTTAATGCAATCTAGTTCTGTCAGTGCCAAGACTGCCATTCTAAGCTTAATTTGAAGAAGTAAACATCAGAGATGATGTTATTAAATTTATTAACCATATGTTAGAGACATTACACCTACTTTTAGGGGTGTAGCCAGCCTCTAGTCCCGTAGGCCCGGCCTATAATTGTTTTCTTTTTGAAACAAAAATTGAAATTTGTGAGGGAAGAGGCTTACATTTAGTCAAAAAGCTGGCTACAACCCTGTTTTCAATCAAACGAGTCTGGCCAATTTTTGTCCGTTTTACCAAACACTTCTCCATTCGTTTTAAAGAACGACGACAGAGAGGCTAAAAATTGTCCATGTAATCTAAACTAGGAAAGAGGGACGCAGAGTTCACTATAATTAAAGTTTCCATAGGTGTGACTTTTATTGTATGTGACATGGAATTTGTTGTTTCTAGTACGACAATATTTACGCTCATAAATGAGAGAAGTAGTTAACGTAAGCCATGTAGTCCTCAATGGGAATTATTTTGGTGAAAAGGCTCATTAATTAATGTAAACCTGGTGCGTAGTTGAAAACGTTCAGGGCTTCAGGATAAAACTTCTAATCGTTGAAAATCACCTCTTGAAATTTTTGCATCGCTTTAAATTTACCTCAGCATGATTTGAGGATGACTGATACTTGGTTGAATATAATGTAACTAGGATTTTAAAGACATGCTGGGACAGTTTCAACTAAACATGGTTTGTGTCATGCCAGTGTATTTCATGTGAAGTGTTTTGATGCTATTTTTTTAAGTTGAAGATAATTGTTCATTTACCTTAGTTTATATTAATTAACTCATGAACTCCCAAGTTCTGAAGAAAAATTCGCTCAACTGATAAGAATGTGTTTCTCTTTGCTGCTGCTTGTTCCGAGAATTCGATGTAACATTATGTTTCTAGTAAACGATTATCCTCCAGTTTGGATTTTCTCTAATTGTTAATGACTCCATGTTTGTCGGTGTATTAATACCGTGAGGAGAATCTAAATTATGATCAGTCTTGGGAGTAAATGGGTTCATTTTAACGTCTCCGTTTAGGGCGTATTTTACTTAATGCCTTGAACGATTTAGTACAGTTTCTATTGTGCTTATTTTTTTACTTCTTTGTGTAAGAGAAATATACAGTGTATAAAATACAAAAACTGCGTTGATTTACATTGTCTGTCTCCATATTCTTAGGATGCACGTAAGATGTAGAGAAAGCAGATCCTATGGGGACTTCAATACTTGTTTTGACCCGCGCACCAAGTTGATAATGTGTGCAGCTAACAGTGTATAAAAGCGCGTCAACTCTTCGATTGTGTCTCTTTCACTGTCTATCGTTCTCCGTATTGCTACACGGTTTTGAACGCCGACGGACGTGTTCATACTGTTACATATCTGCGCCTTTTTTTATCTTTTTCCTCACACAAGTTCTTACACCTTTTCACATTGGCGCATCCCTTTTTTTTCTCCTTCCTCTGGTTCCTTCCTTTTTTTTTTTTTTTTCCTCTCAATTTTCCTTTTTTCCCATCTTTACACGCACCTCTTTTATCGCCCTCAACTTTATTCTTCTGCGCTTCATAGGACGCGACTATCTCCTTGTCTGTTCAGTGTTCACTCGTCTCAATCTTCGCGCTTAGTCTGGCTTCTTACAACTCATATACCTCGTTACTCCCCCATAGTAGTTATGATCATGCGTATTATGTCCACTTTGGGACGGTGTCCTCTTAAAGTCATCTCTAGTGAAATCTCAGTTTTCCTTTCGATTGATTCCTAGTCCACAGGGTGCCAGTGCTTGCTCTCCTCAGTCCTCTCATCATAATAGCAGTTACAAAGCGGAAGAGCTCCCTCCAAGTCTCGGCGACATAATCGGTGCGTTTAGTCGGAAACGAGTCCCTCAATGTCCAAATTTAGGCCTCTTCTATCATCTGATTGGGAATGGGTCAAACTCTCGCCCAGGGTCCACCTACAATGCGTATCCAAGATGGCGGCAGGCCAATCCACAGCCGGACTCTACTGAGTCGGTAGCCGCCATCTCGGATGTAGACGCAGAGAAGACCCTGAGGCAGAGTTTTGACAAAACAATAATTGAGAAAGGATAAGTTACAATAGTGCTTAGAGAGATAGCCGATGACAACTTGAGAGATTCATCATAAGCAAACACGTTCCGTCGATTATTTAACTCCATGTCTCCTCGAATACGCACTCCTATATGCCCCTCTTTCCCGTCCCTATACATCCCTGTACTGCAAGTTTTATCATCATACAGCACAATACAACATTATAACCCTGAATAGCACTGTAAATCCGTAAAATGCAGTAACTAGACAACGCTTCACAACAATATGTACCCCTAGATAGCACTATGCTTCCCTCTACTGAATTTGAAATCACCATACAGCGCTATATAGACAATTTCTCCAATTTGGCGCCAAAATAAGTGCAAATATTTGTCTGCGGTCATTTTCTCGAATTTTCTGTTCCAAGATGCGGAAACTGTGAGCTTCGAGGAACAGATAATATCCAAGGACAAATATCCGTACATATTTTCGCGCAAAATAGACGCTATTGTGTTTTTTATCCTTCAAATATTTTGCAACGCACGTGAAAAATGTTAATGAACAGCTTACTGAATTGAATACTCGATGAAAATCTCTGCGTCGTTTAAAGGAAACACAGCATTTTCCAGCGCAGTCATGGCTCGTCTGAAGTGAAGATACAGAGATCGAGAGTTGATTACGGCCTCAAGTTTCAAACTCATAAAGGCGGGAAATATGTCTTGAACTCTTGGGTTGGACTCAAAAAGTCTGAAACAAAATCATTCATTATCATCCTTATCAATTCTGAATTAAATTCGATTCACGTTTACTTTAGATAATAAATTTCACTCCCATTTTGCCAGTTATACGAAGAAATCAAGACACTGAGCAGTACCCACAACAAGACACAGCTACACTGTTGTGAATCTCCATCCTCATCTTCAACAGAACTATGCTATCACGAAGATAGTGCGCGTGCGTTTGCATTTTGAAGTCACTTTAGCACAAAATAATGACCCGATTGGCAAGAATACAGGCTAAACACGCAACAGCGTTGGTGCTTTTTGTATTTTGGCGTTTGCTCTCTAAAAAGCCCGAGAAAATGTTTTCACTGTCTATTAAATTATTGATTGTTTTCATTTCTCGGGTTCTTCTTTAAAACCGGAACTCGGTTCTTAGCGACTTGTTCAAGTACGGCTCTTATTTAAGAGTGCTTATTTAACTCAGATCGAGATGCCACTATATTTTTCGACTATATCAACTCTTGGCACCCTAACATCAAGTTCACTATGGAAAAGCAGGTTAATCACAAATTATCCTTTTTAGATGTCCTAATTGACAACCATGAACCCAGTTCCTCTCTAACTAGGATTTACCACAAGAAAACTTTCACTGGGTTACTAACTAATTATTTCAGCTTCACCTCGTACTCTTACAAAGTGGGTCTCATTAAGACACTCGTTGATAGGGCTTACAAGATTAATAACACCTGGTTAGGGTTTCACGACGACATTAACAAACTCACTGATATTCTAAAAAAGAATCTTTTCCCTGCTCATTTAATTAATCGAGAAGATTATAAACCGTTTCATTACTGGGACGAAAAACAATCATCATCCCCGGGGTTCCCCTCCTACCACTTCACCTACGTTCTACTTTAAGCTACCCTACATAGGCCACTTTTCTGCTATCACTCAAAAAAAGATCCGCCATTTATGAAGCGCTATTGCAATGACTTGGATATCAAACTGGTTTTCTCTTCCTTCAAAATCGGTAACTTGTTTGGTGTAAACTGAAGACCCTGTCCCTGACGGGCTCCGTTCACGAGTGGTCTATAAGTATGTGCTGGTGTAATGCCTGTTACGTTGGTGAAACCTGCCGGAATTTAGAGAGCACTTAGTAAGTGACAGGGCCTCTCACATTTTCAGGGATTTGAAATATTCTCCGCACTGTCGCGCTCTGTGTTCAGCCGATAACTTCCATGTTTTAGATCACGCCTCCTCCGGTTTTCAGCTTAAGATAAAAGAGGCTATTCATGTTCAAAGAGAACAACCATCTTTGAATCAACAATTACACCATGTAAATCTAAAACTATCTTTTTGATTCTCACACTTGCATGCTTTACCTCTCTTCTTGTTGTCACTATTCATCTTAATTAGCATTGTTTGACTTACTATATAATTCAACTTCAACGCTTTGTACAGTAATTAACTGAAGATGACAGAAGTGTCTGTCGAAACATGTTTTACAAACTCAAAAGTTTTGTCGCTTTCTTTAAATTCTTGACTTGCCTGCTAATATCAAGACCC